GTTTTTAGTTTTGAGAGATCTACAACGGTTCTAAGTGGTAAAAAACATTTGACATGTTTGTTGTTAAACATTAACAACCAATATCATGATTTTAAATAAGTTTTATTATACGTCCACAAACGTTCGCAATTGTAAACACTTGTAAACACTTCACAACGTGTATATTGGAAATCACAGTTAATACCTCTGTTCTGAAGGCGGTCCGTAACTACCAGACAATCCGAAATAGCTTACCGTAAGAAATATTTCATCTTCGGTGGACATTTGATTGACCATACTTGTGCTTGTAGCTTACTCACGTCTGGGCCATAAAATTATGATGTTATGCTCTTATGTGCCATATTTTGTTCCGTAAAATACCCATATTTTACTGTATAACGCCCATTCTTTGTAAAGCCTTCATCCCATATGATCATGTCTCTGGTGCCTAGTCGTAGGCAGTCCAATGATGATTGAAACGTCCTCTGGAATGATCAATTGTTTTAATAGTGGTATATTCCACGTTGAAGTTGAGGAGTCAATCAGTTGATTGACCGTTAGCTCAGGATAGAGGTTATACCCTATGCATATTGCTGACCTCGGGCATGAGTCAGGAATCCAAGTATCATTCCATACAGATATGGAGTGACCAGATTCAACTCTTTGGATGAGGCCTTTGTGTACACTAGATCTAGCAGATGTGATATTTTTCCACCCATAAGACGTAAAGTATGATCTTATTGGATCGAGTGGCGTACCATTCCGAAAATAACATCCTTTAAAAACCTTTGCGAAAAGAGAATCAGGGAAATCTATGAGTCTCCACAACTGTTTAGCAAGTAGTGCTGTGTTAAAATCCTCAATTACCTTGAAACCATGTCCTCATTCCCGTTTGTGTTTACATAACTTGTTTCATGCTTTCTGGTATCCCCAGATATGTTCCCATACCCCCAACATTTTTGATGCCTAAACTGCTGTGGATTACGGTTCTGATATCTAGATACACATTATGGCCGAATTGAACCGAGGATTTATCATAATTAATTTGTTGCCCTGAAGCTGATTCATATTGTTTTAGTATGTGTAACAGGTTAATTGATTCTTCCGGACTTGCCTTACAGAAGAAAAGGCTATCATCAGCAAAAAAAGCATATGGGAAACCGAAGGACTAGCCCAAGCAATCCTCATACCCGTAATTAATTTGTCCCTTTCTGCCTTTTTTAGGTTCGAGATCAGGACTTCCATACGTAATATAAACAGGTATGGAGATAAAGGATCTCCTTGTCAGAGTCCCCGTTTGGGTTTTACCTGTCCCCGTGGATGACCATTAATAATAACTTTATATTGGACAGACTGAATGCACCACATTAACCAACTAACCCATTTTTCTGCAAAACCCATCTTTCTAAGTAATTTTTCAATGAAAGGCCATTCGACACGATCATAGGCTTTACTCATGTCCGTCTTTACTGCTATAAAATCTTTTATGCATGATTTGTTTGTCTGCAGGCCATGAAGCATTTCTTGGGCTATCAGAATGTTATATGAGATAAGTCGTCCCGACACAAAGGCTGACAGAGTTTCCGAAATCAGTATTGGTAACACTCTCTTTAGACGTTGACATAAGACCTTAGAAATAATTTGTATCCCACATTACAGAGACTAATGGGTCTTAACTTTGTCATCTTGGTAGGCCGGTCCATTTTTGGTATAAGGAAAATATTCATTGCGTTTAACCTTTTATCGAAATAGCCCTTGAGAAGAAAGTCGTTGACCATCATCACCAAATCGCCCTTAATAATCTCCCAAGATCTTTGGGAAAACAGAGCAGTTATACCGTCAGGACCGGGTGCCTTTCCTGGATGCATCATAAATAACGCTTTCCTGACTTCCTCCTGTATGAGAATGGGAATAAGTCATGCCAGTCCTCCGTTGCAAGACACCTATGCAGTCTACATCTAACATTCTGTATGTTCCTCATCCCCTTACGACAATGTATTTCCATGGTTCGAGAAATCGATTAATCCACAATCAGAAATCATGGTATTAAATCTGTTAAAAGAAGACGCTTGTCTAAAAATCCTTCTTTGTTTTTCATGATTATCTGTTAATTCATTAAAATCCCCAATTAAAAATCACGAATCTGTCCTTGTTAAACTTATTAGAGTTAACCGCTCCCAAACTTGGTCTCGTAATTTTGGAACTAGATCCCCATATACAAATGACATATAAATTATTTTTCCTTCAAACCGTGCCTTAATATCCATAAGTCTTTTATTAGCAAACAGTAACTGAACATCAAACGATTTATTACAAAACAAAACAAGTTCTGCACTTGCACCACACGGATCAACCGTAAACACCAAATCAAACCCAAAATGAAATTTAAATTGTTTTACAAATTCAAAACATTGTTTAGCTTCATAAAGGAAGAGAAAGTCTGGTCTAAACTTTCTCCAAACTCAACACACGCATTAAATAATTTTCTGATAATCCAATTCCTCAGCCATATCTTCAAACTTCCGTGAAGGCAGCGTCCCCTTCTCTCCATGTGTTTTTATATCCTGAATAGTCCCTGTTATTCGTTGTATACTCCAACCGAGTCTCAATATCATAACTGAAAGCCTGGAATCATGAAGAGATGTATATCTGTAAAGTAATTACGGATAATTCCTGTATCGCCACCTCTTCCCATTTCTGATCGCCAATTTGCTATTAATTTCATTCATGAAAAATTCCTCCATGCCTATCCTGAATCAATTACGGTAATTTAGAAATAATTCAGGATCAATTATCTATTTATTATAAATAATAAAATTAAAAATTATAATTTGTTTATTTTTAATAAATATTTAATGCTGGCACGTATGTACACACAAAGCACCATCACCGAGAGATTTACACTTAAAGGATTTTTAAGTCATCATTTACACTTAAAGATATTTTAAGCTACGAAGGGACTTTCAACAATATTTTAATTTTGTTTTCTTCTTTTTTACATAACTTTCGTTATCTTTGACCAAAAAATTCTAAGAGACAAAGAGATAAACCTGTTCTTCGAGATTCACACTTTCTTTGAGCAATCATTCTTGCAACCGCAGTAAATTTCTCGAATAACCCGATCTAGATTTACCACCTCTTCGTTTTTCTCATCTTTGTTCCCGAAGAGTTTCTCCTCCGATTTTCTTCGCCGATTCAAGATTTCGAGATCAATTAGTTTTGAAATTGCTCAGTTCCCGTGAAGCTTCCTCAATCTCTCCACCTAAGATGTCTGTCACAGATCTGGGCTTGTCCACCAAATACTGACCATGCAATCTTGTCCACCGAGGTTCGAATCTCTGAAGCCACCCAGTTCCCGTGAAGCTTCATCAATCTCTCCGCCTAAGATGTGTGTCACATATTTGGCTTGTCCACCAAATACTGACCACACAATCTTGTCCACCGAAATTCGAATCTCTAAAGCCATTTATGGAGTGGTCGAATCTTTTGATTGATGTTCGAATCTCTCAACCCATCTATATGCATTGATATGTTGATGAGGACATGGACCGTTTGACCGTACCGGGTCGAGAGGATGACGGTAGTAACGACCAGCAGTCCGTACCGGTAAGAAGGGAGCCGGACTCGAATACCATACCATCCGTACATGGCTCTCCCATGACGCGTTCTAAGACTAGGAGTTTGAGAGAGGGGTTTAACGAGGCAATACAAACACTTTTGACCAACATGGACGTGGAGAACATACTTAGCCCCCAACCATTCTCTATTGCACCCGAACTAGATATTACCGAGGACTTTGCCAAGATGAGCCTCAAAGATGACCGTACTAGCATAAACCAGGGTATGAAAGTTTGTTTGACAGGAAATGACGTTCAGAACATCAACAAACCCACCAAGACTGTACCAAAGCCGCGAGCCACACCAAGTACAAGTATAGAAGCCGATAGAGCATCATTGGAGCAAGAAGATGAATCAAGCCCCGAACGTGGAGAACCTCATGAAGACACGTACCAGCTCGACTTCTACACTCATCAGTATGAAGAGAACGTTGAGAAACTCGCCCCAACCGCACCAGAACAAGCAACATTCACCAACGTACCAAACAAGCATCAAGCGCGCCAAAACTAGGTATTCTCAATTTATACAATTTGTGCAGGTACTGAGGCTTGCCTCAATGGTTCTTAAGCATCCCCACACGCCAAGGAATCACCAGTTCGAGCTACAAGAGATTCGGCTAAGTTTAGCTTTTATTTTCTTTTTAGTTAAGTGAACTTTCTATTTTCATGTATTTTTGCCTTATGCGTTTTGTAGTTTTTCTTTTGCTTTGTGTTGTCGTTTCTTTATTTTTATTTCGGCCTTAGGGCTAGCTGACGAGCTGTTTATAAAGCTCCCCTGCAGCCTTGTATGATTTTTTACCCTACATTATCAATAAAGACTGAACTTTCTTCCAAAAGCAATAGCCGCCGCTTTGCCTTTTGTTCTTGCTTTGTTCTTGTTCGTGTGATTCGTGCAAGACTAAGTGTTGCTGTATCAGGGAGCCTTCCATCCTCTCTGTGGTGCCATCAATCTACTTTTTTTCACCGTTCATTCGATCCCTCAAGAGAGAGCGTTATAGCCAGTTTGACAGATCCCACCTCAGCTCAAGGAGTGATCATCACGCCTTGTTCTACCATTTCCACCCCTTAGTCAGCACAAAAGAGCGTCAAAGCCAGTATGTTGTCTCCACCAAGCCCCTCATTCTGATCACCCAAACACTCCCAACCGAGTATTATATTATATGTGTCCATTGATGATTGTCTTCCATGAACAGAGTCTCATTATATCTTATTTTATCTTTATTTATTACAATTCATAAATGTTCAGAAACATCCATCCAATGATTGTCTATCTGTCCTATCCAAAACAGTAATGCTGATGAAAATCATATTCTCTTTATCGCTCTGAGAAGTTTTTTTGAGTTTACCGGCAAAAAATTTGTTGAGTTTGTCAAGTTCGATTTTTTTTAACAGATAAATATAAATATAAAACTTCATCCAATATAATAGAAAACTGGAAAAGTACCTTCATCCAACTCCACCACCACCGAGTAAGTAATTACTGTGTTAACAAATTCTTTTGTAATATGAAACACACGTTTGACGTCAAAAAAAATATACATACAGTATACACAAGACGCAAACATACACATACATTATTAGACACGAATGAAAGTAGTTATTTTGGGCTGCAATTGAAAAAAACTTTGCTACGAAGCTGCCTCTTTCTTCTTCTCCCATTCTTCATCTTTCTTATTCTTGTACCGAGCAACATACTTCTGGTACTCCTCAAGCTCTGTCTCCAACTTTTCTATAAACTCGCTCGTATGTTCAAGCGATTGCTCATAGCGATATTTCTCCAAAGCCTACCCATTTAATTAACTTTTATCAAGAGAGTAAAAGAAACACACACACACAACATAAAGTATCTTGATTCTCATACCTTGTCTTTAGAGAGTGTATCAAGAGGAGAAATCACTTCTGGTCTCACATAGTTTTTCCCGCGGTACAATACTATGGTGTTGTGTGGTTTGACATCGATCACAATGCCCTTGCTTAGCCGAGCAAGCTCTTGTGCGTACTCATGAATCTGCCCTGGTTTGTTGCAGGGCTTGCAAATAACTTTAACAGTCTCGTGCTTTTTCCAATGGAGGTGCATATTGAGAACCACACCTCCAAACACTCCTCGTCTCCCTACAAGTACAAAGTTCTTTCTCTTTTCACCTGTACGTTTTAGGTAATGCTGCTCTTCCTCTGTCAAAATCTCTGGATCATAGGGCTCCGCTGGTGACTTTAGGACATCGTATTTCCTCAGTTTCTCAATCAACCATTCTTCTTTTCTTTTGGCCTATACTTCAGAGAAACAAAAAGAGTGGCAAAAGATGAAAACGCACATTCAAGTTTTAAATACATTTCAGAGATGCAACATTTTTCATTAATAAAGATAAAAAACATCATAGAAAGATTCAGATTCATACGCACAAACCAGAAGCGAGAAGTAAACTAATAAAAAGGTATACCATTTCAAAGTTTAAAAAAAAAAACGAATTACAACGATGTTGAGCAATCTGCATATAGTAAATATATAGAATCATATCAACAAAGATGTAACCTTTTCGAGCTTGTATCGAATCCTGACTTCAGGGTTTGGAGAATTTATCTTCTTTTTGGCCTTTAGACGGTAGAACCTTAACTCATTCACTTTATCCTTTCTCGACCATTTAGCCTGTTTCCATATCTTCTCTTTTCTCATAGGCACACTGTTCTTGTCAGGGAGATTGTTGAGAGAAAACCTCACCACATTATTATCTGTTCTTAGTTCTATCGTCGAATTACTCATGTAACGTCTGTTATACACAGATACATTTTGCCTCGACGCTCGTAAAAGCTCGAAAGAAGCTGATTCATATGGAACTTCTGCAAAGGGTCTCTGCTTTGCATAAAGGGAGTAATTAGGGAACTGATGGTTAAGCAGGAAGAGTCCAGAGGTCCTGCAAAAACACCAGAACTTGTATATAAGAACACATAGAATAGAAGGAAAGCCAAAAAGCCTTTCCACTTTATAGATTAAAGAAACCACATAGAAGCCACAAAACTGCATACAAAGAAAAGTGTTTCTTATGAAGGAAAACAAAACAATTTCCATTTTCCACAACCAAAAGTTGATTGAAGAAACAACACGAAACCCACAAGATTGCAGACAAATTGATGCGTGTTCTTATAAAAAGACTACAAGACGACGCAGAAGAAAAGCAAAACATTTTCAAGTTTCCACAAGCAAAAAGCACATTGAAGAAAAACAACATAGATACCACAAAACTGCAGACAATTTGATGAGGAAATTTTTTTATTAATAAACTATTTAGGCATAAACAAGACTCTCAATCATTGAAAACAAGAAGGGGGAAGGGGGGGGGGGGGGGGGGAGGGCAAATACCATCTGGGATTCGTGAGAAATCGATTAGCAATTCCTTCGGCGTAACCTAAAGCGAACATCAATACATCCTCTGAATATTCTCGCGGGGCAATTTGGGCAGAGTTTCAATATCCGGATGAACCAACTGTTACAGAACGGCGGGTTTAACAACGAGGATCTGATGAGCACAGAGGGTGGATCCAAAGTCTCCGCCTTTGGTTTGGAGCTTCTTATCTTCACCAGAAGATCGAAAATAACTTAGAAGCAAGCGAATTTCCAAACCTTCCGCGTAGTTAGACAAACAACGAGACAAATGACGCGTCGTGTTAGCGACGAACGGCAAAACCAGAATTTTTTGAGATTGACGGCGTCCGAGACGAACCTAGGCACGGAGACCGAAGAGAGAGAGTACTAGAGTTTTGTAAAGGTTTAGGTTCAATAGATTAAAAAATGAAGAATATCGGTTTGATATAACCGGTTGGTCTAATATGTGTATATACATTGAGTTATATTAATTTTCCCGGTCGGGTTGCCAGCTCTATCATCATCTACTATTTTTTTTAATTTCTATTCAATCTTTTATATATTTAAACAGTTGTAAATTAATACTTTATAAAGAAAAACAAAGAAGAATTTAAGATTTTTTGAACTTTAAAGAAAAAAGTAAACATAAAAAATTTCATTTTTTTCTTCTTCTGAATTTATGATTTTACAAAAAATGAAGCCACATATTTATAGAAAAAATATTATTTCATAGTAAAGTAAACTAATTTATAAAGATAAAACGTATGGATAAGCATTATCCAAAACATACAGACAAGCATTATCCTTTAATATGTTAATGTATAAAGACAAAAGCAAATAGATAATCATTATCCATTTAACACTCCTCTTTGATTATCCATCATTAATACTGCCTCGTTAAAAACCTTATCATAGAAAAAACCGTTTGGGATAAAAACCATCACAGGAAAAAGAGTGCAATAATGCTCCTCCTCAAAATAATGTCTGAGTATCCATCACTGTGAAGTTGCATGCTGCCTCGTTAAAAATCTTTCCATGGAAAACCCCAATGGGATAAAAACCATGATAAAGAGAAACAGAGTACAGCAATAGCAAACTCCCCCTGGAAAAGATGGATCTCATCCTCTCTTCAGAAATCTCGTAAATGCCACATTTCAATACTATGAATATGTTTCTTGAATGTTGTAGCACGAAGCGCTTTTATAAAGAGATCACCTGCGTCGTCACTTGAACGAACATACTGAATATCCACTACTTTATTCTTCTCGAGCTCTTGACTATATGAGAAGAATCTTGGAGGGATATATTTCGTTCTATCGCTCTTGATATAACCTTCTTTAATTTGAGCGACACAAGCAGCATTATCTTCAAACACCTTTGTTGGTTCGTTGTCTGTGATTATTCTGCTTGCTTCTTGTATGTGATGAGCTATCGATCTAAGCCATACACATTCTCTGCATGCTTCATGAAGCGCAATAATCTCGGCATAATTTGAAGATGTGGCGACCAAAGTTTGCTTCTGTGATCGCCAAGAGATCGCAGTTCCACCAAATGTGAAAACATATCCAGTTTGCGACCGAGCTTTATGCGGATCAGACAGATATCCTGCATCTGCAAAATCAACTAAACCAATTTCACGGTTTCTAGAATAATATAATCCAAATTCAATCGAACCTTGAAGGTAACGAAATAGATGCTTTATTTCATTCCAATGTCGGCGCGTCAGTGATGAACTATGCCATGCAAGTAAGTTAGTAGCGAAAGCTATATCTGGTCTAGTACAATTTGCAAGATACATAAGGGCACCGATAGCGCTCATATAAGGCACTTCAGGACCTAATATGTTTTCGTTACCTTCACATGCTGAAATGGATCTTTGTCAACATCAAGTGGTCTATTGACCATTGGAGTACTCAAAGGAGTCGCTTTATCCATACTAAAGCGTTTCAACACCCTTCTGGTGTAATTTGATTGCTGCACAAATATTCCATCTTGGAAACGCTCTATCTGGAGCCCTAGACAAAACTTTGTCTTTCCAAGATCTTTCATTTCAAACTCATCATTTATATGAGCTCTTGCATCATCAATCTCCTTTTGAGTTCTAATCATGTTCAAGTCATCAACATATACAGCAATGATCACAAATCATGATGCGGATTTCTAAATAAACACACAAGGACATATCGCATTGTTGACGTAACCTTTACTCAACAAATACTCACTTAAGCGATTTACCACATGCGTCTGGATTGCTTTAATCCGTAAAATGATCGCTGTAGTTTGACCGAACATAGCTCTTTAGATGCTTTAGGCATCTTTGATCCTTCAGGGATCTTAAATCCTTCAGGGATTTTCATGTATATGTCACTATCAAGTGAACCATATAGGTATGCGGTCATAACATCCATCAAGTACATCTTTAAACTCCTGGAGGCCGCTAGGCTCATTAATTACCTGAACGTGATTGCATCCATGACCGGGGAATATGTCTCTTCATAATATATTCTTGGTCTTTGAGAAAATCCTTATGCCACAAGGCGAGCTTTATACCTTGTGACCTCATTTTTCTCATTTCTCTTTCTTACAAAGACCCATTTGTATCCGACCGGTATTACATCTTCAGGTGTAATAGTTATCGGTCCGAATACGTTCCGTTTATTCAGGAAAAATATCTCATCCCTCATGGCCACGTGCCATTTATCCCAGTCAGGCCTTTTGGCACTCTGACACGAAACTTGGATATTGATCATCATTTTCATGATCGATCTCTTTGGAAACGGAAAAAGAGAACATTCCATCATTATCTTCTATCACCTCTAACCCATAATTTTCCACTTTGGGCGAAGGAGATGGAAATCTCATATTTTTCTGCTCCAGATTCGTCTTCAGGACAAATCTCTTTACCTAGTTCTTCAGGAACTGATTCAGATATGTCTTCCAGACATATACCTTCATTTGGTTCTTCATGAACCTTTTCACAAATGTTTTCAGGACATTTGGTTTTATTTGATTCTTCTAGAACCTTTGCTTCCAATTTCTTTCTCTTTCGGGGATTTTTGTCTTTTGATCCTATTAGCCTCCCGTGCTTTAGCTGAACCGGTTCATTTGCTCTATTTACATCAATATGTTCTTCAGGAACATTTATCTTTGATGGAGCATTAGCAGCGGGGATACAGGACTTCGTCACCCTTCTTGTATGAGTGAATGCATCAGGTAACTGGTTTGCCATTCTTTGTATATGTATAATTTTCCGAACTTCCATCTCGCGTTGGTTTGTAGGAGGATCAAGATAAGCCAAAGTTTTTGTACACCATGTGATATCATTTGGTGATTCTCTCAATCCTCCCCCTAACGCAGGGAATTCACTTTCATCAAAGTGGCAATCGGCAAACTGTATCGTGAACATATCACCAGTTACCGGCTCAAGATACCTAATTATACTTGGTGATGAATACCCAACATATATTCCCAATCTTCTTTGTGGTCCCATTTTTGTTCTTTGAAGTGGCGCTATAGGGACATAGACCGCACACCCAAAAACATGAAGATGGAATACATCTGGCTTCTGGCCAAATGCTAACTGTATGGGGGAATATGCATTATATGAACTTGGTCTTACCTGGACCAATGCCCCAACATGCAATATAGCATGTCCCCACACAGTGATTGGAAGCTTTGTTCTCAAGATTAACGGTCTTGCAATTAATTGCAACCGCTTAATCAATGTTTTTGTGTATGAACATGCGGACCCGGATGCTCAACATCGATTCCTAAGGACACACAATTGTCATTAAAGGTTGATGATGTAAATTCACCAGCGTTATCAAGCCTGACTTTCTTTATGGCATAATCAGGAAAATGCGCTCTCAACCTGATTATTTGGGTAATGAATCTTGCGAAAGCCATATTCCTTATGGTCAAAAGATACACATGTGACCATCTACTAGATGCGTCAATCAATACCATGAAATATCTAAATGGCCCGCACAGTGGGTTAATCAGCCCACATATATCAACATGTATTCTCTCTAAGAATACATAGGATTCATTCCCAACTTTGGCTGGCAAGGGCCTACTTATGAGTTTTCCTTGAGAACTTGCCTTACATGAAAACTCTCCCGATTGAAAAATATTATGGCTTTTCAATGGGTGGCCACTCGAATTTTGCACAATTCTTCTCATCATGACTGAACCAGGGTGGCCTAACCTTTCATGCCACACTCTAAAAGTGCTGGTAAACTTCTGGTTTACCGCAACATGTGATTCAGCGATGGTTATCTTTGTGCAATATAATCCGGAGGACATCATTGGTAACTCTTCTAACTGATGTTTACTCTTCGTTGTAATGCAAAGATATTCAGAGCAATTCTTATTAATAGTCTCTATATGATATTGATATATCATAGTTTTTATGGTTTTTAACCATGGTATAAGTCCTTTTTATTGAGTCTTTTTGGTTTTTTTAGAGTCCTAGTAGAGTCTTTGAAGGTTATAGTATGTCTGGAGCATAATTGGAGATATTGAAGCTTTTTGGAGTGCAACTCGGAAGGAGGATTTTGGCTTACGTGACGCTCGTCACCACTCAAGGGTGATGCTCGTCACACATAGATGAAGGACTCGCGACTGGTTTTCTAAAAGATGGATAATTATTTGCAGAATTAGCCCAAAAGTTCCAGTATTTGCAAGAATGCCCTAGTTCGTGTTTTATCTTGTATATATTAGGTTTTCAGCCATTGTTGGCTTTTGGATCTTAGATTTTAGAATTCAGAGAGCTTTAGAGAGGATTTTATCCAGAGCTTTTGGGGAGACAGATCATGTACTCTTTTTAGAGAAGATTTTGAACCCCTTTTATACTTGTTATATTCTTTCAGTGCAATATTATTCAGCTATGCTTTGTGATTCCATGATCATGTCTGAGTAATTTGCTAGTTAAGTTAGGGCTTCTCAAAGGTTGATGAAGAGTTTGTAGAATTGCTATTTGTTAGGAATATCTTTTGGTTCTTCATCTCTGCTTGCTTAAAAACCGATTTCTTAGACACATCATCTAGAAATCCGAAAATTATAGGTTGTTTAATATATGTGAGAGCATTATTGATAACCTGATCTAGCATTAGATGAGCAAAACGACGTAGTGCAAAGAGATTTGGCTTAAGAGTTTTGTGAACAATTGAACTTGATCATTACTGCATGTTTAGATTATTAGAGTTTGCAAAGAGATTTGAAACTCTGTGATTTAGACATAGTTAACTTCTGCAATGAGAATTGATTAGTTATATATTTGCGATTCATGTTCAAAACGGTTCTTATTCATTCCTGATTTCATGTATTCTACATTCTCGAATTCAACTTGCGAATTATCCTGACTTCGTGCTTTTAGTTTTCTGAATCTTAGATCAAACAAATTTCGCCTGCTTTCTTTTATTTTGTTATTTCGCATTAC